AACAGTTAAAATAGAACGGTGGCCAAAATGTTAAAAAAATCAATGACACGTGCATTTAAATCAACATGCTTTAAAATTTTATAAGGACCAGCACTACGGGCTTGCAGTGTAACATAAATCCCCAATGTTAAATTCAAAATGTTGTTTATGCCAATCAGCTCGAGGTTTATATAATGCATTGTGTCGAGTTGTTTATTGATCTCAGTATGCAAATCATGAAAATGATATGCAAATGCCTCAGCTGACAACGACACATTAGCATGCGAAGATATAAGAATAAAATCAAACGGCTACCTAGACTTATAACTATGAACAATTTCAAATGGATTTAGACCTAGAGACCGATTCACAAAATTGTTATATGCAATTTGAACAATTGGAGGATCAAATCCCAATTCCCAAGATTTTTTTGGACTAGAGACTTGAATATATTGCTAGGACTTTGGTTAACGACTTCTTTTTTACCATCAGTCTGAGGTTGCTTTGCAGTGGAGAATTTTGATTTAGTACTAACCATAGTCGACTGGGTTCTCCAAAAATGATTAGTGAAATCATGGAATATAGTATCTGGAGTTTCAGGAAGAGTCTGGATGCCACCTAAGGTGTCCTCACTATCATCATCAAAATCTTCAAGTTTAGGTTCATATACTAGATCTTCTAACAACCCTTCTATTATATTCTTTTGTTCTTCTATGACTAAGGCTCAGTTAGGACATTTGGAAGAGATATGGCCAAAGTCCTTACAGCTGATGCATAGCAAATGAGAAGAAATCCTTGGAGTTTCAAAAATTTTACCCTTATTTTCCAAGATTGGAGGAACATTAGACGGGGAAAATCCTAGAAGGGACTTAATTGGAAGAAGTGGAGCCAATGAAATAGAAGAATGGTTGTCAATACGGCTTCCATACGGAGAGGGGGGCCTTGGACCATCACGACCTTTATACTTATTTTTCCAAATGGGAGGAATACTAGACGGGGAAGGCTCTATGATAGACTCATATTGAGGTGGTGCTAATGACATGGGTCAACGATGGTGATCGCACTTTTCATATGGAGTACTAATAGTCAACTCATAATCTCGGGCTAAAGAATAAGCATAATCAAGAATAGTGACACCTCGAAGGAAAGCTCACACCTAAGATCATCTTTTAGACCTTGGCCAACCCTACTTAAAGTCGTGGTCTCATCCTCAATCACATGACATTTGGTTTGAAATTTCTCAAATTGTGCAATATACTCAATCACTAATCGATTCCCTTGTTTAAAAATAGTCCATTAAGTAAAAACTTCAATAATTAAGCAACCATCAAAAGTAGGAGTATCTAATTTAATGTCTCTAAAGAAGCTCTTCGTATGATGAGAAAGTGAATGAGTACTGTGATGATTACAACCTCGTTCTCACTCACGAACCTGATCCATATCTCTACTATCGTGTAGGAAGCATTTTTATATCACTCTGTCAATGGTGATATTGTCTATTATGGATCACTTTAGATTTATGAATGTCAGTCGAATGAGGGATTTGCTTAAAATGACTCATTTTAGTAGTTAGGTTCTTTCTCTCCTTATGAGTAGCAGCTATATTGGATTGGATAGTATTGAGTTTGAAACTGTTGTTGATTAGTGACAAGTTGGGCTAATTGTCGTGATAGTGCATCAAATTGGGAAGGATCCATGGTCAAAGTATTAGTTCTAGCGATGCAAGATGACCACCCACAATTGCATGCAATGTAGTAACAACTAAATGCAATGTATGAGAAGATCAATGAACAACAATTCCACATAAAGACAACATAGACTTGAGCAGTTATGAATTTATTTTTTTGTGGGATTATGTAGATCCTAATAAGGCAAGCTAATACTGCTGATCTATATAAAATAACAAAGCGCGTGTTAAATATTAGTCAACAACATAATGGCGTAAAAGGTTAAAAGTGAAAAGTGAACAAGACGAGTTTGGATAGGTCTAGGGTGTCTGTTATGTGAATTTTAGATAAAAGTGAGGAATACCGCAGCACAAAAAAAATAATCAATGCAATTTTAAAATGAACAGTAATATAAATAAAATATAGATAAAATCAATGTTATAAAAATCGGACCAGGCGGTTCAATCAGAAAAATCGTGAACTAACCTTTAATCCGATCCGATACTCATAAACTAACTGCAAAATAAAAAATCGGCTAATAAACTATCAAACCGGCCGATTTAACCGTGAATCAAAAACCGGCCACGATTTTTTCCGAGTAATTTGATTTTTTTCCAAAATTTTTTTTAACTATCTTAATGGGTCACCCATTGCAATTGAAGGCCCAAGTAACTTTTTTATAAAAATGATTCTCACTTGCCTTCTTTTAAAAGGAGATCCTTCTTTCAATATTTTAGTAATTCTCCAATGTGGAACACTATCTCCTTTTTAAAGGTGACTATTCTTCCAATATTGTGTTAATCTCCCAATGTGGGATACTTGCCAATTGCCAATTGTCAATTCTAAGTATTTCCTAGTTTACTTCATCATTTTCATCAACAAATCATAAATCCCAACAAAATTATAATTTTCAATTTGAACAAAGCAAATTATTTTGGACATATTAATTGTTAGTTTTAAGGTTTTAAAATAAATTATTATAATAAATCTAATTAACAAATATTGATTATATTTATTTTGAATGAGAAAACTAAAATTTAAAAATCTATTATAGTTATGATATTTTATAGTTTACTTGTGTATTTATTTATTTAATTTGTCATCCGGTTCTATACTATTCGACTCTGGTTTGACCCTTTAAACCTCGACCCTCTTCTTTTTTCGGGTCGAGTTTTAAAACATTGGATAAAATAGTAACTTTCCTCGGTCGTGGAGACGTTGTGTTGATTCGTTGAGATGCCAAGACAAAAAAAAGTTCCCGTGTTCGTTGAGACGTAGTACTGATCAGTCAAACTAGAATAGGTGCAAAACAATGTTTAGAAATTCTTGATTTATTTATTTTTTATTATTTTATTTTATTTTTTGGTTTCTTTTCTTTTCTCTTTTTATTTTTATTTTTTTGCTTTTTATTTTCTGTCCTTTTTTTTAATATATAAAACTCCTAAGTTGTCCAAGATCGGTTCCTCATTGATCTCCCACGAAATGGGAGGTGCTCATCATCGTCATCCAACTCGTATTACCTAATAGGTCGATCTTCATATTCCTCGTTCTGAGGAGTGTTATACGATGTGTTGAAGAGACTTCCAACTTGCCAGCCCCTCTGATCCTAAGAGGTGACCTCTTCTAAAAACTGTGATGCCACTTAAGCGGCCTTTATGGTGTGCTGTTACAGGTTTTTTACGCCTGTATGCAGGTGTTATCATGGAAACCGCTATTAACACGATTAGTTTCATTTTCTTCTAGGTTCTCTTGCAAATCTTTTCTACATTATTCTCTATCTTCGGTCGCAGAGAAGTGTTCTTTGCCTTTAGCACTTTCAAGCTTTCTGTCATCTCTTGAATAGCATTTAGAGTGGACATTTCTTCCACAAGCGGCGACGCTGTGTGGGAGAAATGCAAGCTTGCTCTTTTTCCGACATTTCCTCTCTTTGCTTCTTAGGATTGAGGTCAATATCTGGAGGATAGTCGCTGCATTCTTCGACTTCTATCTCTAATGCTTTCATCTCTTCCGATTTCTCCTCTGACTCATGATCTCAAATTTTTAGAGAATTAGGGTTTTTTCCAAATAAAATAACTATTTGAAAGAAAGATATTTGAATTACATTCATTCTTCTTCAAATGAGGGAGTATTTATAGATTTCTTACCAAATTTTAGGATAATTTGGTCCTTTTGATAGAATGACAGATAGATGCTCCTTATTGGCTCTCTTCTAACTGATTCGGTGAAGAATCACATTTTATTAACTTTCCCACAAACTCCTTATTGACAGTCTGTAACCAGCCCGAGTATGAAAAATTATTCATAATCTTTAGGCACATTTTATTCACTTGCCCTTGTGCCCTTTATTGACAGGTCTGTCGTCAGCCTAAATACGAGAAATGGTTTATAATTTTTAGGCGAGCCTTCTGTTTTTTCGTTCCCCTCACGTGTAGCTTTAAATTTTGCCTAGCGGCGAGCTGGGTTGGTAGACTCCATTCAATGGTTAACACTGTTTTCCATATGGATAAAAACTTACCCATGAAAAGTATAACTCTGATGAAAGGTCGTCTCTTGTTAGGTGCTATTCTGGAAGCATTTGTGTTTTCTCTAGTGATTTTCTCCAGCTCCTCTCCTTGTTTCTTTTGTTCTTGCTGGTGTGCTATGTATATAAGAAGAATTAAACAAAATTTATGTAATCCTAATCAGTAATTAGCACCAATGGTGCCCGTTTACAGATAAACCTCAAGGTTGTCTTTGCACACGAGCGATCGTCATTCAGGAGCATCGGTAATCCAGGCTATTTTGTACTCTCAACCATCAACGATGATCTTACTGCCCGTCATCACATCATATCTCAGTACTCACAGATTGTCACTGTTGAAGTCATATTGTATGTTAATCCAAATGACCGACAGAGCCTTCAACTTTTGGATCTGAAAAACACATTATAATCTCACATTAACAGTAAAACAATTACCTTCTATAAGATTCTTGAGAAACGAGCTATATAAAACTTCCATTCATTCTTGAATAAGATTCTTAAAGTAACGAACTACAGAACTTCTGGTGTAACTGGTGGGCCCGTTCCAAATGGCTGTAGTTTCCCCGGACAGCAGAGAGACTGTGCATCATTTACCAGCACCTAGTCGAATTTCTTCACTTTTACATTGTTAGAATTTCTATTGTTTGGTAACGTGAAAATAGATTTAAAAATTCATTTTCATCTATTTTCCTTCTACTGTACTTCCCTGCCATAAGAGATTGGACAGTTTAATCACCAGAAATCCATCCCTTCTACTGGCTTCTCACTGAAGTACTAAGAATAATTCAAGATATTTGTAAGCGGTAAGAATCAGCACACAGAAATAAAAAGGATAGATTCGCAAAACAAAAATTCTTGCTCTGGTAATAACTTGAGAAACCAGTATTAATGTTCAAAGTAACAAATTTTAAGAAAAGATCATACTACAATATAGCGTTTCTAAGCGAAAGAAAGGGCTTCCACGCCAGTTCCAATATCTAACCACTAATTTGCAAGAAATACGAAAACTTGGCAAATGAATATCTAGGACAAGTTCTAACTTGGGGGTGCTCCACCAAAGCTGCCAGATCCTCGTCCAAATCCAGGTCTTCCACCGGATCCCTGCATGTCAAATTGAATTGAGTAAAGTTTCATATGATGGACTGGACATAAAATAACAAAAAATACTAACAATTAGCAGAATCAAATAAGCCATGTTCACTATTTGAGAATGTAAATTGGCTACTCTAGACGTGCCCAAGGGAAATGAATTTTTAAGGGAAAAGCAGCCAATACCCGCAACCTCAACTCTTCTACCAACAAAACCCAAAAATAAAAGGGTGGGTTGATTTTTAAGCAAGTAAAGTAGGAGAAAGCTTAGTAATCCTACAAGAAGCAAAAGAGCCCTTACTTAATTTTTATTTTTTGAGAAGGGATATTATGATTTTTTTTTATTATTAATATCATTATTTTTTAAATGTGGGGTAAAAAAAGTAGGAAATAAGTTATGCCTCCACCGGCAATATTATTTTATTAGGTGAATGTGTGGTTAAAAATAAGTTTGAGGAAAAGTGGTTTTGAAAAAAAAAAAAATCAAACAAGGTTAAATCAGTTGCATGGTAATTCAAAAAGAGAAGTTTTTTTATTGATAGTTTAACCATCAACAACCAATGACATTACATTGTAACATTAACCATCAACAACCAATGACATTACATTGTAACATGTAAAGAGAATAACAAAAAGTTCAATTTATGTTTCAAATTCAATATAATACAAGTTGCTGTCTTAGAGCAATAGTGAGAAACAATTAGAGTAACAATTTCCACAGCTCAAATGTGCCATTCACGAAAGCTTATATGACACGCACCCAAACAGAATGAATACGGATTAATAAACCACGTCAGATAAAAGTTACTTGTGATATTTGATTCTTAGATGTTCAGCAGCCTATGGGTGGTAATTAAGCATCAAATGATATGCCAAATGGGACAGTACACTTATCCTTGTATTTAAGATGACATCAATTAATGCCACTTAATAATTGACATCTCTACTGCTGATAACCAGTAGTTGTGATAGATAGCATTATTTATGGCATAAACATGGTTTAAAAATTACCTAGTGACAACTATCTTAAAGCATGTTTGAGCCTCATTTTGTTGTAAGAATGCATTTTAAAATAGTAGATTAGTGGAGAATATGTGTTTAAAAAATAAGGAAAAATTTTGGGCTTACGTGTAATATTATTTTATTAAAGAATACGTTGTTGAAAAGAGGAGACAGGAAAATGTAATTTGGAAATAATAGGAACAAACAAGGCTTACATTTGGCTTTGTGAAATGTATCGTCAATGCAAATCACATACAGGATCAAGGTTAAAAATTACGGAAATATTTCCATTTCCATAGGCCCTAAATACCATTAGCACAGGAATTCATGAATTTTCACACAATTACATAAGCCTAAAGGCTTAATTCACTTAAGCTCCATTTTACTTTAAAAATAAAGGGAACAAAAAATTGTCATACAATATTCATAAAATAGAGAAGGCTGAAAATAATTCATCAATCAAACAAGATGTAGCATAAGAAAATCCAAATTACCCTGAAAGCAGGCTGGTAGTCGGCTGGAGCTCCTCCCTTCTCACCACCAAATTCACCAGGCGGTCCTCTTGGGCCACCCCTGTACCCATCCCTATCTCCAAACCTTGGCCTGTCACCCTCGAATCTTGGTGGTCCACTATCAACACCCAATAAAGACATTATATTACTAACACATTCGTAAAAAGATAACTAGAACTTTGATATTTCAATCAAAATGTATTAGTAATTAGTGTCCCTATATATTATAAGGGTCAATTACCACAACAATGAGCAAAACCAAATAAAAATTCCTTAATGCTTCTCCATGAATGAATCATACAAGAATGGGAAATCAATGAAGAAACAACAAATTAAATAAATATAGTTTTAGGAAGATAACTTTTGATCAATTACCGATATCATCAAAACAAAGACAATAACTAACACGTGTATCAGATTACAATGAAAATTAACTAAAAATAAAGATTTATTTACCGTGGGCGGTCGCCTGGTGGGCCTCCCATGGGTCGACCGAGGGGCTTAGCAGACTTCTTGAGAGTAGCTGGGACGATCTCCGAAGGAAGGTTGAGGTAGGTACGGAGGAACTCAATGCCATCATTTGTCAAATACCAGTAGTAATGCATCCAGGCAAAGGTCTCCCGCACGTATTCTTTCGACTTAAAGCTCTGCATCAGCTTAATCACCTGTAAGTTAGGCACATCGATTTCCGGGTGCTTGGCGAGGTTGAAATCCTTCTTCGCATAGCATACACCCTCTACGAATATGTGCATGAACTTTTAACTCCACATCAGAAGTCAATTAATATGTAAAAAAGTGCATGAAAGACAGAGAGAAATTGATGTGACCTTGGAAGAGGTATTTTGAGATCTCTCTCCGGTTCTTCTCTGGGATAATCTGGTATCAAATTAAAACCAGTAAATGATTTAATCTCTATTGCCAACATAAACGTGAAAATAAAAAGAAAATCACATACAGAAAACAAGAGAGAAATGATACCATGGCTTCTGTATATCGGTCTGTCGGTCGGCCAGCGGCGGCGGAGAATGAAGAAGAAGATTACGGCTCCGGCGGACGGTGCGGCGGCAGAGGAATTGTTGAAACCCTAGAAGAGGCGGGGTTTTAGTTATAAGCTTCTTGGGATCTGGTGGGCTTGGGTTTGGGATTGGTGGGCTAAATTTTTAAGGTTTGAATTTGGATCCATGTCTATATGGGTCATTTGTTACGGGGCATAGGCTCAAGCTAGCTTGTGCTCAACCAGATCCGGTTAAAAGTAAGGAGAATTGACGAAACTGAAAATTACAGCCAGCCATGTTTTTTAAGTTTCAACTTTAAAAATCAAGTTTAAGATTTTTTATACAAAAATTAGGTGATAATACATTCTCTAAATTTTAATAAGAAATATTTTAAAATTAAATTAATCTATATACCCAACCTACTGTATTCACCACAACCCAATTTCACTCCCAGACCCTATCCAGGCTTAGTAGAGAGAGAAAATTTGAATTTGATTGTCGCTAATGATCGATTTGAACTAGACGAAGCTGAAGTAATATGGAGTAATAATGAAAATGTTCCAATTGAGGTCAAAAAATCAATTTCAGGTAATGGAAAAGCTGCAAAAGACAACAGCTGAGTTGATAAACTGTCAGAAAATCGTTAATTATGAACATATGCAAGAATGAGTACAAAAATCACGATGGAGATTATGAGCAAGATGTCGAAGACTATGATATTCCACCTCACGACTATTTAGCGAGGTCGAGAGGTGGTTCGTACAAAAATCAGCATACGGCTACAATATCGAAAGTTGCGCAGTGGCTTTGGTTTTGGAATTGATTTTACGGTGGTTTGTGTAGTGATTTTGTTGGTGGCAACAGCGGCGACAATGTTAGTTGCGATAGTAAGATAGTGGCAATGTTGACTGCCGTTCTAATTTTGGGTCTAGATTTAGGCTATGGTCAGGAATATGGGTCGAGTGAAGGAGTTGGAGGAAATTGTGGAAGAGGAGGGAGAGGCTGTGGTGGCATCGGGTCCAGTAGTGGTTCTAGCTATGGCAGTGGCTTTGGATATGAAAGTGGTAGTAGAAGGGGCAATGGAGGTAGAGGTGGGAACAATTCTAACAATTGTTCAAGCTACGACAATGGTTTTGAGGTGGATTTTGTTGGTGGTGTTTGCAATTGGTGTTGGTTGTGGTGGCAGTGTTGGTGAGGTAGTGGCGATGTTAGTGTGCTTGTGGTGGTGGTGGTAGTGTTATCGATATTGGGGAGAGGTGGTAGTTTAGTGTGAGGTGGTTGTACTCGTGGTTATGGTGAAGGGATAGGAAGAGTGTTTGCAACCAGTTATTTGATTGATTGTAATCAATAAATTAATTAAAGTGTGATCAATAATAAATAATATGTGATCGATGAAAAAGATAATTTATGAACTAAAAAAAGTGAGAATTCAAATAAATTTGTAATCATGACTCTGTGAACAATTAATTTAATAATTTGTGATTGAGAAATTATTTGTGACAAATTAATTTGATGGTTTGTGGTAGTTGAAAAAGTTGTGATTTATTAAATTTATGATTTGTGATAAAAAAAAAAAAATAATAATACGTGACCTACTAATTTGATAATTTGTGATTGATAAATAAATTGTAACCTATAAAATTTGTAATCGAAAAATAATAAATGATCGCTAAATTATGATCGATAAATAAACTGTGACCTATAAAATATGTAATTTGTGAGAAAGAAATTATATGTGAGTAGTTAATTTGATGATTTTTGTTTGAGAAATAAGTTGTTACTTAAAATATTTGTGATTTGTAATTATTACATCTGTAATTATGACTAATATAGTGTAACTATAAATTATATAATATTGTTATATTAATATATTTAATGAATAAAATATTTTTTATTTAATTATTTAAGACTTAAAATTTAATTAAAACCTGATTTTTGAAATAGTAAAACTAATTTCATAAATTTGAAATTGCATTTTACAACCACCTTATATATAATATTCTACCTGATGCAAATTAATTATGGGAAAAATACGTAACTAATAGTTCAATCTACACTTTCAAAATAAGAAACTTGTTAAAAAGTCTCAAAAATTAGGTGGTCACATTGTCACAATTTCATGACTTACTAACTAATTAAATAAGTCAAGATCACAATTACGCATAATTTATAGTCACGATAACTATTCAGAAGTTGCACAAAGTCAAGTTACAAAGACACAATAGGTCACAATTACAAATTTAATCACAAATTACACATTTTTATAGATAACTAATTATTTATTTGTTATCAATTATTAAATTAACTTGTCACACCCCCACATCACACCTACCCCACTCTAAAGCTTCCTTTCCACCACGCACATTATCGAAAATGCATTGCACCCACTACTGAATCACGTCTTCGTCTGCTTCCCTACCTTTGATCGACCTCACGCTACATACTGGAGGCCTCAATTGCCCCTAAAATCATTCAGTTGATGATGGCCTTGGGTGGGAACCCTAGCGTTGCCGCCCCATCCAAAGCTTTCTCTCGCGACCCAAATCGCTTGAAACGAACTTTATCAAGGGTAGAATAAGGTCGTTGTCTCCCTTCCGGACTTGAATGATGCTACGGGGGCTCCAATGGTCTCCAAACTCATTCAGTTGGCAGTGGCCCTAAGTGGAAACCTTAGCGCTGCTACCCTATACAAACCTTCCTCCAGCTACCTAAATCGTCAAAACGGACTGCATCGATGACGAAATCAGGCAGCAGTCTTCCTCCTTAACTTCGACTGGCCTCACGATACAAATTAAGGGTCGAGCAGCCCATAAAGCGTAGAAATGGGGTTGGAGTTGGGTTTAGGATTATGGTTATGGTTTCTACAGGTAGGGTGAGTTTGGCATGGGTTGTAGCGGTGGTAGTGGCAGGTTGCGGTGGTGGAATTGGTATGGGCGAGCGGTGGTGGTAGTGGTTTTGAGAGTGAACGTGAATTGTGACTTGGAGGAAATGGATAAAAGAATTGGAAAAGTGGGGTGCTATGTAATATACGGAAATGATCTCCTAAGTATCGGTGCTTAATATAAGTTCAAACATAATTTTTGAATTTATGTTAAGCACCGGCGATATATTACATTTTTAATTGGTGAATAAGTTAATGGTAGGTTTCATGTATTTAATGATTCACAAATTAAATGATGTGCTATATCACATGTGCTTTACATAAATTAAGCATCGGTACTTAAGAGATCATTTCTGTTGTATACCTAATTTTTGAATGAATAGAGTTAAAGTCTAATTTTTGAAATGGTAAGCTAAAAACTAGGGGTATGTTAGGAAGATAAGGAATTTCTAGAAAATTATTCAAACTAAACCATCTCTTAGCATCAGATGCAATATCTTACTTTTTTATTACCCTTTTAAACGTACCCTTTTTATTGTCCAAAAAGGTAAAGTTGCATTTTAATTAAAATTTATGATTTTATAGTGTCTACTACTTTTAATTTCAAGGTTCTCTTCTAGAATTCTCCCTTGAAGAAAATAGAACTCAGATGGTGATTGGAATATCTAATTTTACTTGCATCAAGTCGTATTAGATTGTGCAAACATCTATAATTACTGTAGGTCGATGGTTGGAAAAGGTGAAAATGGAGGCTGAAGGATTTTCATAATCTACAATGACATATGTCGGAAATTAGTTTAAATTTGAGAAAATTTGGTTAAGTATAAAAGTGGAAAGTGACGTTCAAATCAATTTTGGCCAAATATTCGGACTAGATCCGATAGTCAAATTACAAATATAAATAGACTAACTTGTTTTACTTATCGAGTAGATCATATTGGTATATTTGAAAGCTCAAAACTAATTCTGGATGAATAAGAAATTACTGTCCAAATTTGGAAGAAAAATAGACGAAAAATTGGCCTAGATTTTTGCGTAACTCTATCGCTCGCCTATCCCCAAGCGATAGGGTTGTCGCTCGAGCGACAGGCGGAGGAGAAAAGGTTCTGTTCAAATTTTGACATTGGCATTTGGGCTAGATGTCAGCGACAAGCTAGGGACAACAAATGATGCTTCTGTTTGAAGTTGCGAAGTTTTATACGTAATACTTCATCCACAACCTCATCGTCTATAAATAGAACCCTTTAGACGTCCAATAAGAATCCTATATATCATTTTTGCATTGAGCATTGCATAAAATCTCTTGCAAAACTCATTTAATTCAATCCAAAATCATTTCCTCTTGCAAAGAGAAGGTTCAGTTCAAAGTTTGCTATAACTTGTAATTTGAAGTACTTCTACCAAAAGTTGAATCCATTGTATCCTGGAAGACGAATGGTATAAACCGTGAACATCATTGCGGGGCAATTTTATCTTAAGGAAAGAGTGGTTTTTCAAATCCCTCAAATTTTCCTCCTTCATTTCTTGTTTCTTTGTGGTTTGTACGTAATTCCCTTCCATATATAGTTGTGTTTAATTACGGTCCTGTGGATTAAACTTCGATATTTTATCTATCACATAACCCTTTCATCACCACCATATATGCTGAACAACAACATATTGATAAATTGTGCTCTAGATTTGATCAGGCTGGTATCTTGGGTGTCACTCTTTCTCCCGTGGTGGGACAAGGGGGGGAGCAAGTCCACAATTATTAGCAAAGAAATGTGAGGAATCAACATCCTATTGAACATATTCAACAATCAAATGAATCGTTTGATGAAGAAAGAGATGCAATTCATTTTGCAAGGCAACCTAGACTAATTCTTTTGTGATCAAGATTCAAGCATCAAATTAGATGTCCTTGAATTTAGCGGAATACGATAACCAGAGGAAGTCATAGATTGGCTGAACAAAGTTGAAAAGGATTTTTGAGTTCCTTGATTTTCCAAAAAAAATAAGAAGGTGAAGTTGGTGACAATAAAGTTGAAGGGATATGCTTTTTCTTGGTAGCACAAGTTTACATGACAGGAGTCCAGTAACGAAAAGAAAAAATCCAAAGCCAGTCAAAGATGGTAATGCATGATTCAAAGCCAATTTCTTCCATTAAATTATGAAGGAATTCTCTTTCAGTAATACCAATCTCTTCGGCAAGGAGCACACACTGTTCGAGAGTATATCAATGATTTCTATAAAATGAAAACACGAGTGCAACTAGAAGAGACTAAAGTTCATGTGATACATCGTTATTTGATTAACTTAAGGCTAACTATTCAAAATTTTGTGGAGCTACAGTCATGCTGGACATTGTCTTGTTCTGTCCAACTAGAAACAAAGGTTGGAAATCAACAAAAACAATACACATAAACAGGATGACACTCAAGGACAAATTCATACAGCAGCAAGAAACAATACTTTTGGGAATGATAATAATAATTCATCCCAGTCATCTGGATGAAGAATTATTTGTTATGAATGTTCAATAAGCCAACAATTTGTTACTTAACCAATAAGAAGGTGAAACTAATGGTTTTGAAGAAAATGAAAAGCAACAGAATGAAAGGTTTCTACAATTACAGAAGTAACCTATGAAGATGAAGGCCTTCCAAATCTGGCAGTGCATTGTGCAATGCTTTCCCCAAAAGTAAAAGGTGACTTGCAAAGGAATAGCATATTTTAAACGAAGTGTTCATCGAATGGTAAACTCTGGGTGTACATTTATCATTGATGGAGGGAGCTGTGAAAAATCTTGCTTTTAAGGAGATGGTCACGAAGTTGAATCTAGAGATGCTTTCACATCCAAGGCCATATCTAATAGCCTGGTTCAAGGAGGGAAGCGAGGTAATGATATCACATTAATGTCTTGTCCCTTTCTCAATTGTGCAAAATTATATGGACAAGTTTTATATGATGTAGTGGAAATGGAGGCTTGTCACATGCTCTTAGGAAGGCCATGGCAATACAATAACAAGACAGCGCACCATGGAGAAAAGAACACTCTGCGCACCATAGAGAAAAGACCACTGCATTTTACAAAGATGGAGCCAAAGTAGTAATTGCCCCAATAAAGGAAGAAGACTTTACCAAGTCAAAAGTGGAACATAAGAACTCATATTTAAGAACATGCTCTTAGGAAGGCCATGACAATACAATAACAAGACAGCGCACCATGGAGAAAAGAACAATATGCATTTTACGAAGATGGAGTCAAAGTAGTAATTGCCCCAATAAAGGAAGAAGACAGAACCAAGTCAAAAGTGGAACATAAGAATTCATATTTAAGTACTTGGTGCTTCCTAATTAAGGTTGAGGCTAGTGTTTTGCTTACTAAGGAAGTTGTGAAAAATCATCAAATAACGTCAAGCGAAATGAAGGAATTGAATGACTACATTAAGTTGAAGAATCAAACAAAGGACATGTTATAAAAGATCGAGAGTTCAAAACTTCAAAGAGGGTAATGTGGTGATGGCCTATCTATGTAAACAGTTTCAAATAGGCACATATTCTAAGCTTAATAACAAGAAAATAGGCTCCTACAAGGTCCTAAGAAAATTGGGGAAAATGCTTACAAAATTGACTTGCCGCTACATTTGGGCATACATCAACACTCAATGTTTCTGGCTTGTATTTTCGTTGCGAAGAAGATATGAATGGTCCCTAAGAAACTTGAGGTGAGTTTCTTTCATGGAGAGGGATTTATGCAAATTAATTTTTTGTCTTAATTAAATAGTCAAAGGAATCATAAAGTAATTGTTTAGTTTTATAAAAGTACTTAAATCTACATTCAACTTTTCTTACTTCCCATGGGTCTGTAACCTTCAAATTTAGTAGCACTTAGATTACCACCACCTAATTCTGTGTAACAAAAGGTTAATTGGCCACGTTTTAGTGATAATAACAATTTGAAATGAAAATTATAACCTTGATTAAAAAAAAAAAAAAAAAAACCAGCAAGCCCCCTTCGGACCTCAAGTTATCCAGCTCCTCCCTCGCCCTCAAATTGAGTCATTCAAGAACACAAGTCATGCACCTCAGTGGTGTAACGAGACAATAGGTTAATATCAGTCTCAAGAAGTACATAAGCAGCGTAAAGAGTGGATGCCTTTAGAATAGCACAATCAAAACCAAAATTCAGCTTATACAGTTGAGGCTGGGATAAAATAGAGAGAATAAAAGTAATCACCTAGCAGTAAAGATACAAGTAAACTGGTAACAAGAAAAGAATTCCCCTTGTGCTGTTTGCATACAATTTTTAAAACATGCACACGAGGTGAACATACAGAAATGAACTTGAATACCTATATGTTATGATTCAGTCTGTTGAGATTCTTTCTTTTGTTGAAACTTGTGGACTCTTGGAAACAGTAGATCATTCAACTGTCTTTCAGCGCTATACTCCGAAGAGGCCTGGAAATCAATGTGTTAGAGAGGGAGAGGAGAGAGAGATATAAAAAGGTAATTTTCACTATTTTGTATATAGTCCAGGCCATGCATCACGATAAGAGAGATTGTTCTTTCATTGCAAACACATGGGTCCAAGATGAGTACAAGCATATGAAATTGATGGAATATAAAAGTAAAGAACAAAAAGTATATACCCTCTTCTTAAATGCAAAACGCAATGTTTGTACTTGTGTTCCACAGCAAATTCTTAAGTCACAACCAAGGCTGTCTACACCTATAAGAGTCACCTCCTGTCACAAATTCAATATAAAAAATTAGCAAAAGAACTTGATTGCAGAAAAATAACTTTTCTGACTCTCTCTTAATATGTTAGATGGCCTTCTCTTGTATTCCAAGACAATATATTGCAAGAGAGGATATAGAACATCAACTGGATGAGGGTCCAATATTATGAACGTAACTTTTCATACACAATTTAAGTTCTTAACAAATTAATCTCACAAAAGTAAGTACTATGTTTCCAGGAGGGAATAAGTTTAAAAGGCCTTGTTCACGAAGAGATGGGTGAGGAGAAGTAGATTTTGATTCCTCTCACTTTCTTCATGCTGTAAATGTCACCAAAGAATGTGCGAAATTATAATCTTATTTTCGATTCAATTTTCCAAGTTACAAACAATGCAAAGTTTACTTCAAGTTAAAAGGCATGATACAATTACAGATTAATATAACTCCGTTGTGTTACCTCCACTTGAATACCCTTGCATCTCCAGCACAGAGATTTGAGAGCTTGTGTGGTCTTTTCTCCACCAGATTTGACACGAGATATAATTTTTGCAGCTGAATGTACTATTGCGTCAGGTTGAGCTTTCATAAAATCTTCTATATCAACAAAATTCTGCAGAAAGCACAAACAGAACAAAAAAAATAATTTATGCTTTCCCATCCTAATAGCAAAAGGATAGACCACCTCAAAGTGGTGCATTCAATGCGTAATACTATTTGAAATTTAATTGCATCAGTATACGTAGCATAGAAAGGCAACTGTCAAGTTCATTACAATCTATATTTGTTCAAATACATCTGACACAAAGTCAGGGATGTCAAATTTGCACAGACAAGTCATTGCAGCAGCATACTTGCAAACACAGACTCAAGTTATTTCTCAAGTCAAACAGTTGGTTCAAGTTAAGAACATGCCCTAATGATAAGAAGGTTCATCATTTGAGGTGTTGATATTTGCGATATTTGAGATGGACCTTGACTACAAAAGATATATCTATTAGTATCAAACGGAAGACTGCCCCCTACTATTTGGGGGATGTTCTCACCCCAATCCTTGTTTGCCATTTAAAGCCCACTGCTTTCAGAAAGAGAAATAAACCTTTTTCATTCAACATGGGGTAATGGGAAAATTGATAGCTTAATTTCCTTCATCTTCTTTTCCTCATCTATCTTCCACAACTCCTTTTCAGGTCCCTACGTATCATTTCTGATAGTAAACAATTGCAAGGACATGAAAGCAGAGTATTTTAAGAAAAAGAAGAGGAATCAAGCATAACGTTTCATCTCCATTCTAATATTAGATGAAATAAACACGCCACAGATAACTATATTGTGTACATGGAACATATATATGCTGAAAGAAATTTCACTAAATGGCATGGATGACTTCTGCCAACTTTAGGATTGCTATCAAAACATAGTTGTGAACATGCAGAGTTACAAAAGAGGCAGAAAATAGAGTAGATTCAGCAGCTCTCTCAAGCCTGAGAACAAAAAAAAGTTTAAATATGAAGAAGTAAAGGTCTGAAGAAATGAGAGCACCATGCAATCTTGAGATTCTCAAAGAAAAATCAAAAGTACCGGATGTCCATGTGATGAAACTAACTGAATTTTAATCATCTCTAACTTGTAAAATAAAGCTCCATTTCCGAGCATTTCATCCTTCTCCAATTCCCCTGCCAAATTTGGGCTACCTTGCATAGTTTCATTTTCGGGTTTGTGACCATTGATCTGAAAAATGGCTTCTTGAATTTGTTCTTCAGAAATGTAATTAGTATCAGCACCACTAGATTTATGCTTCTGGATGACAGAGTGTTCTTCAATAAATGCAGGTCTTAGGAGGCCTTGTATGGCAAGACCAGCAGAAGGCTGCTCCATATATTCATCTGGATTAACAGACACAACCTGTAACAAAAATAGATTCACAAAAATGGATATATGATGGTGCATTAACTTGATTCATTTTAAATTAGAGAAGGGAATATGACGATGACAAAATAAAGGCAAAAATATTATAGTAATTTTAGTCGGAAAGTCAATTTAGTAGAATGGTATTCCATGTTCCACTTTTTTCGATCTACTTTTCTAATACTACACTGTGTAGCAAATTTGATTAGGAGAGTCACCTCAACTAGCTTTTTGGCAAAATGCATTGGATGAGAAGACCGCATGGTCTCCAATTTAGCCCAGTCCCCTATGGATCCATCAGAGTCCTCATCCAGATCTTCTTCTTCATCATCAAGAACACTAACCCAGTCCTGCAGATGAACAATATCAATGTCCACATACTGCAGAAAACTACAATCTGACACTTGAAGGGGGAATTGAAGGAAAAGTTACCACCTTTCCATGGTTATTGTTTTCAGTGTCATCGTCCTCTTCATCATGGAAATCACTATCTTCATCGACTAACTCATCAATGCCAAAATCAATTTCTGAATGACCTAGCAACTCAACCTCACTAATCATCTCTGCAGTATCCAGTCCAATAATAACTTGCTGCATTTTTTAAAATCAAGTATGGCTTCAAAACAATCATTTAAATTTGGATAATGCATGTAGTGAAGAAAAGATAAAAAAAAATTTACTTTTTTCAAGCTGCAGACAGATGAAGTATACCATTATGTTTGCCAAATCAGAAATTTTTAACATATTAAACACCAGACAGAGAAAACATTAAAGAAATTAGGAATAATTAGACCTATATAGGAGACAGGCAATAGGAGTATTACACTTCATAGGAGAAAAACAATTTTAGTGTCCCAAAATAATAACTTATTAATTAAACGGAATCAATTTTATAGAACAAATCTTACCACAATGTTTTCCTCGGTAGATAAGGTTTGCAAAATATCTTCATCACTCTTCACTTGAAAGTATATATCTGACAATAATTAAATAAAAGTGTTAACGACAAAGCTGCTTAACCAAACAATTGCTACCCGTAATAAACATGAGAATTATAAACAAAAGATGATTATCTTACTTCCATGTTCATCAGTTACATAAGGTAAATCTGGCCAGAACACGTTTTCATGAATTTCATCACTCACGAAACCTGAAAACATCATCATTGCTTTGCTATTTACCTAGAAAAATAACATTATCCAAACAATATTAATGAATGACCGTTTATACAGTTCACATTTTATAGACAATTTTCAACTGTCGAAAATCAATAATCATTGAAAATCACATTTTCCCCTTGCATTTATTCTGATACCTCAATAATGGTTTTAGTAGTTTCAGCAGGCGATAGAGTGGCTTCCACGTTCTCTAATAACTCCGACTCCGCAATTTCCTCAAACGGATGATACTTCTGTGAATTCCCTTTCTGCTTCTCGAACCCCGAACTCGAGCTGGATTGTTCTTTTGCAGTTGCTCTAATACAATTGCCACATTTTACCCTTCTTCCAACCGAATTATCGCTCAACCTCCTGCACTTTTCAGCCAACCAAATTCACTAACAAATCTTACATCATTACCAGAAAAATCATATTTGCTTCCAAACAATGTACCAAAATCTGAAATTCTAGCTCAAATAAAAAACAACAATAATAAATAGATGGTACCGGGAGAGGGACGTGGCAGAATGGGTGTAGAGGCGGGTGGAAGAATCGAAGTTCAAGGCGGAGAAACGGACGGCTGCGGTGGCGGAAGGTTCGATCATCAGCATCTTTTACGAAGCTAAGATTTAACGGATTATTCAACTGATTGAGCAAATCCCATTTTTTTTCCTGCGATTGGACAGTTGGGTTCTATTTTATCCTTTCTGTGTTTTACCTTTTAAGCCTTTGCATATTGTATAATCTATTACAATTTGGGTGAAGAGGTTTGCCTTTCAAAAAACAGGCCTGTCACCGAGGGGTTGCGGCCCTTGATTATTATGCGGGGCCATGAAATTCAAGGTCAAGGGTCGAGGTGGATTTAATCCCGAATTTTGTAACAGAGCCTTGGGTAAAACCATTGGCCCCGGACGTTACAGATGGGGGCATGCTGGTCCTCAATGTCAAGCACCCTTCTAACAATTTTCTCACTTTTAATTTTATGTCCTCAATTTTTTTCCTAGGCGAATTGACATTCTTAACTTTTAATTAATTAATATATTTTATTTCTAATCATGATTCTCATCCAAATATTTTACTAACGAGCATTTAAAAGATGAACAAATATTTTGTCTAACTTTTATATTAGTTATTTATTTCTATTATTTAAAAACAAGAAAGATAGATGTCTTTTTGGCTCTCTTAACAAACATTTTGGACGAAATCATCTCTATAGATAAGATATAAAAATTAATAGAGGGTCGATGATAAAAAAAAAAAATTAAAAGGTTGACATCATAAGAGTAAAAATAAGAGAAATTTGGGATATTCATTGTAATTTAAATATTGCGTAGTTAACAAAAATTGTAGTGTGAATATATTTGCCTTAATATGCTAAATATCACATTCGGTGAGAATAATTTTTTGGACAACTCTAACATTACTATGATTAAATTATTTCAATAACACCTTACTTTTTTTTTTAGTTTATATTTAATTTATTTAACCATTTAATTACTATCAATATACATTTACATTTGAAGTTTAGATTCATTTCACCTATTTGTTTTTATTAATGTATGAATTTCCTATTATTAATTCTCAATTAATTAACATTAACATTCACGTTCATTTAATTAATATTCATCTTCATTTATACATTTTAGTGTTATTAATTTTAATTTTAAGTTAATTAGAATTTCATATCTATATTCACAATATATTAAATATCAAGTCCAGTGAGAATCATCTTTCGGACGATTCTAACCATATTATAATTCAAGTATTTCAATGACACCTATTTTTCAATCCGTATTTAATTTATTTAACCATTAAATTACCATCAATTTACATGCATATTTGAATGTCCAGATTCATTTCACATGTATGTTTTCATTAATGTATGAATTCCCTATTACTAATTCTTAATTAATTAACATTCATATTCATTTAATTAATATTTATCTTCATTTATGCATTTCAATGTAATTAGTTCTAACTATAAGTTAATTAAAATTTCACATTCAAGAATGCATTTTATTATTACGTCTATGTATAAAAATTAAATAAATGATTTAATCTTTATTGTCACGTATATATTCACTGATATTAATTTTAAATTAATTACCATTCATACATATTAAAATATTACATTTATAGTATTTATAAAGCATTTTATAACAACGTGCAACACATGTTCAATGTTGACTAGTACAATTAGGGATGACAATCAAGCTCGTCGACTCGAGCCAACCGTGACTCGGCCTGAAAATAGCTCGAGCCCACCTGGCTCGAGGCTCTTGAGAACCGAGCTCCATTTTGGGGTGTCGGGCGAAGCTCGAGCTGGCTCACGAGCCTATATTTAAAAAAATATATACAAAAATAAAAAAAATAAAAATTACTTTTAAGGTAGCAGGTTGCTGCCTTGTTTGCTCTCTAAAAAAAAAAAAAAAAACCCAAGCTAGCCTGTTTCGTGTCAAGCCTAATTTTTTTGTCAAGCTTTTGCTCGACTCGAGCCCGGAAAAAAGCTCGAACATTTTACTCGAACCGAGCTCGAGCCTAAAATTTCGGCTCGCAAGCCAGCTCAGCTCATTGACATCCCTAAGTACAATAACATTGAGAAAATTGTAAGAAATGTCCACTTTCACGTTGTTATTTACAAAAATGTCCAAACTTTGTTTCGAGTCCATTTTGCTAATATTTAGACCAAAATCCCCTCAATAAAAATTTCAAACTCCACCATGAAAACAATTTTTTTCATATAATAATTATAAATTGTGTTAGCAAATAGAAATTTGCCACGTAAAATCCGCTTGGTGAAAATTAAAATTCAGATTTTAATCTAAGTCAAAGTTAACCATTAATTTCAATCACACATTTTATGGGACCCATAATTTTTCAACCGCATATTTTATTAATTTTTATCAAAATCTACTAAAAATTTGATTATAATTCCCACCAAACAAGTGCATAATCTATACTACCTATTTGGAAAAAATACAAAATATCAATCCATGCATTAAAAGCTATCTTCTGCCTAGGAGTGCATCAATAACCGTCGATTTTATCATATTTTTTAGTTGGAATTTGGTTGGATCAGTTAGGATTATGGGGTTTACTCGTGAAAATGAATCCAAATCAAATTTTCACATATTTTTAGTTGGGTTCCATTCGGGAAGTCTGCCCATCAAACCCGTCACAAATCACTCCACCCGACCTAGCAACTTTGATAAAAAAAAAATTATTATAACAAAACATAACCTTGCGTGAAAAGCAGAAGCCAGAACTTCGAAATCCTAATCTCTCTCTCAACTAAGGCTGGGAAAAAATAAACTCAAATCGTTCAAATTGACCAACTCAACCTAAACCGACCAGTTTGGATTGGTTTTTAAGTTCAATTGGGTTATGTTGGGTTGAAAAATTAAATTTGAGGTCAGGTTGGATTGGGTCTCGGGTTATGAATTAAAAATCCAATTCAACCCAACTCAATCGATAAATTAAAAAATTTAACACTTAAAATAGAAAAATCTAAGTAGATACAATAGTTGGAGATAA